CTCTCCAAGCCCCTTAATAAAGCTGGCCATAAGAGGCAAATTCCTACAAGCCACACTGATCTATTTCCTTCCCTACTTAAAAGCCTCCCACAACAACCTGGATTAAGGACACATTTATTAGAGACTAGATTAGACTTTGTGCTGGATGCCAGAGAAACAAGGGTGGGCTGAATGTAGGGAGGTAGCATCCAGCTGAGGAGAGAGATACTAAAAACTCCAGCCAAACCTGGAGTTAGTGCCTGGGGACTCAGCTGTGAGCCAGGGAAAAGGGGTTTCAGTCCACATGGGGCTTACAATACAGTGGGGGAGACCAGTAAGTAGACAGATGATGTTAATGCAGTATGATAAATAAAGACCATGGCAAGGATATAGCAAGCCACCACAGAGCACAAAGAAAGGGGCACCTAATCTAGGTGTAGTGCAGAGGCTTCCTGGACTAAAGGCTTCTCAGCTAAGTTTTGAAGGATAAGTAGGAGTTTTCCAGGTGAAAGGATGGTCTCTTCACTCTCCTAGTTAGGGCTTGGGCCCCATCCACTCCCATGCAAGCACAGTGGCTGGGGTTTTACTGCCCATGTCACAGTAATGCTCTCTCCCTGGGGTGTCTAGAACTCCACCTTCTTTTTAGGGTTTGTATGAGTGTTCTTGCTGTTGAAAAAGGACTGTTCACACAGATGATGTCAGAATAGCTGAGCCGTGTGGGGGCAAAGACTCTCCAGACCTAACTGTGCTCCTCTCTTTGTGGTCTTCTTAAATCCAAAAGGTTCCTAGGGACATCATTCTCACAGCTGCCCTCATCCTAGGCAGGACTTAACACAGAGGAAAGGACCATGGTGATTCAAAGCATAGTAAGTGGTATAGATATTTTCTTTTATTATTATTATTATTATTATTATTATTATTATTATTAACATACATATGGGGCAAACTTGGCAGGCCTTAGCAACAAATCTGAATACAGGGGATGAAGTTGGAAGAAACTAGGATAGTAAACATGATACTAGAAAATACCTATAGTACTTACAATGTGCCAGGTACCATTCTAAGTGTTTTGTATATATGATCTCATCCAATCCTCACAGCGACTCTACAATTTAGGTATATTATTATCCCCATTTTACAGATAAGGAAGCTATAGCTCAGAGAATCTAAGTAACTTGCCAATGGTCACCAGCTCTTGCTATGACACCCAGTTTAGGTTCTTGTTTGGGCCCATGGGTGTATAACAGTGTATCTTACAGTGATGGGAACATGGGTAGAGCTTCAGGGTTGTGAGTAGATGGTGAGTTTTGCTTTAGGCATGTAGAACTTAGGTTACCTATCTGTTAGCTCTCATACCAAAGCTTCCGTGATGGTTTTCAAGAGAGGTCAGTGTGGAGTACAGAATTCCTGCAAGCCTTCTGGAGTTGTCTTTGGCCTAAATGTGTCTCACAGTCTATATGGGAGGCATCGTGAAGTATGTCTTGCCCACTGGGGCCCAACCCAGTCGTGGTAGATCAGGCCCACAGTGCTGGCTACAGAAGCACCTCTGAAGTCTAGACACACTGCCCAGATGGGCCTGGCCATCGCAGACAATGAAAGCCAACCACCTGAGCATGACACAACTTAGAGAATAAAAACAAGTCAGTCTTGGGCCGGCCTGGTGGTGCACTGCTATAGTGCGCCGCTTGGGAAGCACGGCAGTGCTCCCGCCGAGGGTTCGGATCCCACATACAGACCGGTTCCCGCTCACTGGCTGAGCGAGGCGCGGGAGCAACACCGAGGGTTGCGATCCCGTTGCTGGTCCCGGTCCGGTACGGGGGTGACACTGAGGGTTGCGATCCGTTGCCGGACACGGAAAAAGACTAAAAGAAAAAAAAAAAAAAAAGTCAGTCTTAGGGCCAACCCATGGCTCACTCGGGAGAGTATGGTGCTGAGAACACCAAGGCCCCGGGTTTGGATCCTATATAGGGATGGCCGGTTAGCTGACTGGTTGAGTGTGGTGCTGACAACACCAAGTCAAGGGTTAAGATCCCCTTACCAGTCATCTTTTAAAAAGAAAACAAAAACAAGTCAGTCTTGGTTTTCAGATCTTTGTGTCTCCCGCACCAGGCAGCCAGAATTGCAGGACAACACATGGTCAGGGAAAATGGAAATCAGGACAGGCAGCATTTGGCCTGGCCTTGAGAGATTTCCTACTCAAGACCCCTGAGCCTTTGAGGCCTTGATGGACCAATGGGCCGTGTCCAGCGGCAATGTCAGGCAGAGGCTAGGCCTAGATAACCAAGACCTTTCTGTGAGCTTTCCAAATGTAAAGGGTGACCTTGATGTTAGGAGGTCACCCATTAGGCTCAGTGGACAAAGTATGGTCTAAGACACCTCCTTTAAGTGTATGAAAACGCCTGAGCAGGACTGCCAATGCCTTTGTTTCTATCCTGGTTTGTGCAGATATATGAGGGACACATGTCAAGGCCAGAGATAGAGCCAGCACATCTTTGGGAAATTGCTGATTCCTAGACATCCAGGGGGACTGTTTACTTTGAACTCTGTAAAAGACCTATGTTGGGCTACAGGCACTGAGCCACAGGCATCTTCATCTTTCAAGTGAAGAAGCAGGCCCAGAGACTGTGATATTTCCGCCCATATGGAGATGCCTGCGGCTCACTTCATTGAGACTCTGATTGGTATAACTGAATGCTCAGGATATGCCAGGCTTTTGCTACGTAGTGCCTGTACGGTTACCTCATTCAGGGCTCACAACCCTGTGAGGCACGTGCTATGCTCTGAATTTTTCAGGTGAGAAAACAGGCTCAGAAGTTGGGTATCTTTCCCAAGGAGGTCACCCGGAGGGGAAGGGGCAGAACTGGGGTGCGTCTGGGTCGCCCGGACTTTGAATGGCCTGGGAGCGGGATGTGCGTAGCTGAGACTTCGGGTGAAGCCCCGCTCCGGTCACAACTGGCTCTGCCAGGGGGCGGTAAAGGCCGGGGCACCCAGGGCCCAGCCACCTCTGCCGGGTGTGGCGGCGCGCGTGCCCACCTTCGCAACTGACACTTCCGGGATCCTGGGGAGGCCGGAAGTGGGGGCTTCTCTCGCTTCCGGCTCGGCCATTATTTTAGCTTCCACGGGCCGCTGCGGTGTCCGGCGTCTGCGCCCAGTGGTAGACGCGAGTGGGCTGGGTGCGGGGAGGGAGGCGCGATCGGGGCCGGGGTCGTCAGGCCCGAGTCTGCGCGGCTCGGAGGCTGGCTGTCTGACGCCGGCCGGGACCGCGCTTCGCCCCTGCGGCGGGCGGCGCGGTCCCCGTGACGCTCAGAAGCCGCCCGGTGTAGAGCCGCTTCTTTGTCCGATCCTCTGACCAGCCGTGTGTGGCACGGAGCCGGGCACCTGCGGGCACAGCGATGAACAGGGCAGACGTGGCCAGGTGAGCGGCGCCGCAGAAGCCTGGTTTAGCGCGAAATGTAGATAGCTGTCTTCCCTTCTTGCACTGTGAGACGACCGTCAGAAGTCGGTCACACTCAGACTCGGAATTTAAAACGTGAAGCGTGACTTGGAAATACAAAAATCTAGTTGAGATAAGCTGCTGAGCATTTGGAACCGTAAGGGAAGTATGAAAATGGCCTGAACTTCCTACACGTCTGGGATCTCAGAGGAGGCTCACAGATTATTTTTAAGCCCATTTCTGTCTTTTTAAAGAAACTGAAGCCTAGAGAGAAATAGCTTACCTGGGGATCAGGATGCATGGTGAAATGGAAGCACAGTACAGATCCCTCAGTTACCACCAATGTGCTGGTTTTCAAAGAGGATTTTACAGTGTATAAACGATAAAAGTTTCCCCTCACTTCAGAGTCAGCAAAATGAACCACATTCATTCCTTTACCAAATATAATGCCTCTGTGTGCCACGTACACAAGCATGTGTACAAAGGTGACTGGAAGCCTGCCCTGCCCTTTGAGTCTCCTAAAGGGTGGGAGGCAGCTGTGTAAATCACAAGCAGTTAGTGTGAGAAGTGCTCTCACAGAGGTTTGAATGAAAAAAGTACTGTGAGGTCACTGAGGCAATAACCACACTTAACCCTGGAGAGATCCAGAAGGCTTTCTAGGGGAGTTCATTGAGTAGAAAAAGGTTTGGCACTTCTGACTCCATCTGGTTCCTTTCCGTTGGTGGCCATCCACCAGTTTGGACGGTATGAGGGTATGTGCATAAACCAGTTAAAATACAGTATTGTAGTGAGAAGTACAGACAGAAGCTGCCAGCTCTCTGCTGGGGCAATCAGGAAAGCCTTCAAAAGAAAACGGCATTTGTTCAGAGTATTGACAGCTAAGTAAGAGTTTGTCAAAAGTTGAAAGGAAGAAGAAAAATCCAAACAGGAAGGAGTATGTGTGACTTTGGCTGTGTCTCTATAGCGTTAGTCCCAAACTTTATTACACATCACTATCAGTAGAAGAGTTTTGAGCATGCACTTCCTACATAGATTTATTTGTAAATTAAAGATGTGTACTACTACACAAATTTCAATGCACATTATAAAACATACATTAAATAGGAGTTAAATAACAACTTAGTATTTCCTTTTGCATCCTTTGGGATATCTTGCATATCCCACGTTGGAGACCATTGCTGTCTTTGTAGCCTGGGTCCTTGAAGAGAGTGGTAATGGGTGTGGCTGGAACAGAGGTTTAAGGCTGGGTTGTGAAGGGCTGTGAATGCTAGGCATAGACATTTAGGTTTTTTTCTGTACGTGATGGGAGCCACTAAAAGTTTAGGAAGTGAAGTCACTTAGATGCTTTGAGAGACTGTGCTGGTTGTGCTCTGTTTTTCTGGAGCTTTGCTTTTTAACTTTGGAGAATCTGTTATCAGCCTAGGGCTGAACACTCTGGGGACTCTGACTCCTCTCTTGATGTTTCTGTAGGTGACACTTCCATCAGCTCCTTCCCCAACCCTGAAAAATAGCTCCTGAGATCTGAACTACAGACCATCATTTTAATTGGACCAACTGCAGCTGAGACAAGCTTCTCTTTGAGGTCACAATGACCACCACAGTCAGGGGATCTTTAGGCCTCATCCCCAGGAGTGCTGTTTTCCAGAAGCAGGAGGGGCGCCTGACTGTGAAGCAGGAGCAGGGGAGCCAGACCTGGGGACAAGGCTACAGTCTCCAAAAGAACCACCCTCCTGTCTGTGAAATCTTCCGGCTGCACTTCAGGCAATTATGTTACCACGAGATGTCTGGACCACAAGAGGCACTGAGCCGGCTTAGAGAGCTCTGCCGCTGGTGGCTGATGCCAGAGGTACACACCAAGGAGCAGATCCTGGAGCTGCTGGTGCTGGAGCAGTTCCTGAGCATCCTGCCTGCGGAGCTCCAGACCTGGGTTCAGCTGCATCACCCTGAGAGTGGCGACGAGGCTGTGGCTGTGGTGGAGGATTTCCAGAGACATCTCAGTGGACCAGGAGAGGTGAGCAATTGAGTCTAGAATGGCATCCATAATCATTCTGTAGTGCTTGGGTTGGTCTGGGAATAGACATTTTCCATTTTCCAGGCTCTAGACTGGTTTGTTCTTAGGATTCCTGAACCTTTTCCATGGATAGAGGGGAAACAGTTCTGTGCTCCAAGCCATAAACAAAAATGCGAATCCCAGCTAAGATCTGTGAATCACACTGTGAAATACTGTGTTGTGAGCCTAGCTTTAGCCTGGAGATCCACACAGCACTCTTGGCAAGCAGGAGATCTGTACGCTGGTTAGAATAGGAAGTGGAGAAGAGGTGGGCCTTTGGATATGCTGATAGCATGGACCCTCATTTTAGAAATTCTTAGTACTCACCTCCTTGGACTTCTCAGAGTCAATTCTTTCTCTTCCTGCCTCTTAGGTACCTTATGAGAGGTGACATTTCTGGACCTCATAATCATTTGGAGTTTTGGCTAGCTTTCCACAGCCAACTGGGATTTTTTTGCATCTTTAATTCTAATTTTTTTTTTTTTTTGTCTTTTTTGTCTTTTTTGTCTTTTTTGTCTTTTTTGTCTTTTTTGTCTTTTTTGTCTTTTTTGTCTTTTTTGTCTTTTTTGTCTTTTTTGTCTTTTTTGTCTTTTTTGTCTTTTTTGTCTTTTTTGTCTTTTTTGTCTTTTTTGTCTTTTTTGTCTTTTTTGTCTTTTTTGTCTTTTTCCGTGTCCGGCAACGGATCGCAACCCTCAGTGTTGCCCCCGTACCGGACCGGGGACCGGCGACGGGATCGCAAGCCTCGGCGTTGCTCCCGCGCCTCGCTCAGCCAGTGAGCGGGAGCCGGTCTGTACGTGGGATCCGAACCCTCGGACGGGAGCGCCGCTGTGCTTCCCAAGCGGCGCACTATCCAGTGCGCCACCGGGCCGGCCCATTAATTCTAATTTTTGATTTTCCTTATTTCCTGGGGTTCTCACAAATTTAAAGCCAAGGTAACTCAAACTAGAGAAAAAGCTGGAAAGCGTCAGCAGTATGATACATTGGAAAATCTGGCTTCTAGGACAACAGAGCTAACTAGCTCTGTGACCATGTGTATCAGTCAGAGTTCAGTCACAGAAGCAGAACCAGTAGGAGATGTGTGTGTGTGTATAAAGAAATTTATTGGTAGAAAGTAGCTTATGAGATGTGGGGCTGGCTAGGCAAAATTGAAATCCATAGGGCAGACCATAAGGAAGAGCAGGCTGGTACTCTGGCACAAGCTGCAGTGCACAGACCAATTTCTTCTTCATGGAACCTTCAGCTTTGCTTTTAAGGCCTTGAACCAACTGAGTTGGGCTCATTCATCTATCCATTATCTAGGATAATCTCCCTTAATTAAAGTAAACTGATTATGGACTTTAATCACATTTACAAAATACTTCACAGCAACACCTAGATTAGTGTGTGATTTGTGCCAAGTTGATGCATCAAAAGACCGTTACACCATTGATACGTTAGTTCCTCCTAATGAGTCTCAGATTGCTTCCCTGTAACCTGAGCAGGGTGGACTAGAGTCCCTTCTACTTTACCCCTTTGCACTTCACCAGGGAAAACAGTACATAAAACTTCCCAAATACCCAGCATATCATTTTATTCAGTGCATTAAGAAAAAATGATCACATATTTATGACTTGAGAATCAGTTCTAGGTGATCAGAGTCTTGGGGCTAGACATTTTTCCAGGAGTACCGGGCAATGCACATTTGGCATTATCAAATCCGTAGTCAACCATCATTTCCATCACAGGGACCTAGAGAGCAGCTAGACCAACCTTGGCAATGACAAGTGGCTGAAGACATGTTTAGAGTGCTATTTAGTGAGGAGAGTAAACGAAAATTTCTGTTTCTTGTCTGATTTTGCATAAGCAGAAGTGAATGTTCCCTCCATTAAAACTCTCAGTTTTCTATCCGGGGAGCCTCAGAAACAGGTGACTGTCAAGTCAAAACCCAAGAGAATGACAATTGACAGGCAAGATAGCTGAACACTCATGGCTCCAGCATAAGAGTGGGGTCTTTGGACTCCATTTCTTACTCTGCCACTACTGTCATTGTTAAGTATTTTGACATGAAGACATTAGGGCCGGACTGTCTTTCCTAGCAGGGGTTCAAAAAATGTTTATAGAAGGGCTAAATGAATAAACAAGCTTTTCCATGGCGGTTTGCCAGGAGGAGTTTAAAGAAGATCAGGGCAAATCAGAGTCATTCTGTTTATCAGGAGTAAGCCACTTCATTGTGTGTACATTGAGGCTGGGAAAGGGTGGTAGGGCAATCCCTACTGGGCTGCAGAATTGTGCACTTTACAAAATGCTTTTGTATCCTGTATCTTTTTTTTTTTTTTTTTTTTTTTTTTTTTTCTAAGGAAGCAGGTATCCACTGTAGCTTGTATGCTGTCAGAAAGTGGGGGCAATTCTGAGTATCTCAATAAATCTCATCTACAGGGAAGGTGAGCTAGATAGTTGTAACTGGTGAAAGAAGTACCAGTTATTCTTTTTAGCCAGAAGGATGTTTGGTATTTCTGTGGGTGGCACAGTAACCTTGTGGGTTTTGGTTTTTTTTTAAATGAGCTGACAAAATTATGAAGTGGTTTGTTTTACCTTAATTTATCTGGCCTCAGATCAACTTTGTTTGAAGTTGGTATTCTTACTTATTTTTGGTGACAGGCTAGTATGGGGATCTAAACCCTTGACTTTGGTATTATCAGCACCACTCTCTAACCAAGTGAGCTATCCAGCCAGCCCTGTATCCCATATCTTATTTCAGCTCCTACCAGGCTTACGAAATAGGCAATATAGTAATCATTACCTCCATTTGACAAGTGAAGTAGTCACAGAGGTTAATTAACTCATCCCAGATGACATATCTGATAACCATTCTCTTGTCCACAAGATTGAGGTGAACTGTGGTTATCGCTGATTACTACCAAGTGTGGGGACCAGGATTTTCCAGCTCCCTAGGTTCTAAGCCACTATAGCTTTTCTCTAGTGTCTTGCTATGGAATGCCATTTTAGAACGAGAATTGGAATGAGGTATTTATGCCTTTAAAGAATTGAAACCTTGGGCCGAGCCCGTGGCGCACTCACGAGAGTGCGGCGCTGGGAGCGCTGCTGCGCTCCCGCCGCCCGTTCGGATCCTATATAGGGATGGCCGGTGCACTCACAGCGCTCACTGGCTGAGCGCGGTGCGGCCGGTCTAAAAAAAAAAAGAAGAATTGAAACCTATAAGTCTAAATCCTAGATAATAAACAGGAACTGTAACAGGATTTAATTGTCAGTGAATTACAAAGTTGCGTTATCAAGGGCAGTTAAGTTCTCTTTTGCCAATACCCACAGCTGCCACGCCATAACTCCCATTTGTAAGAACCATTCAGTGGAGAGCCTGGGAATCACAGACCCAGGAGCCTCCTGGTCCTACACTACACAGATGAGATATATATTAAAGGAGATGGTTCCCTCACATCTCAGCAGATGTAACCCAATAGGGCAAATCTAGAGTGGTTAATTGAAGGAGAAGTTATTTTTACATCGTGCTGTGCTATGTACCTGCCAGAGCAAGTGAGCTTATAAATGTGCTTTATTTAGATAACGTTTTAGGTTTTCTCCTCCAAATGCTGGTAAAAATAATAACCATGAGAGTGTGAGGAGGTGGTTTGATGACAACAAGTAAGGATTAGAAATAAAATGTCCCTGCTCTGAGGTATTCTCAAGGTCTCTAAAGGTTAGTGTTGTCTGATCTTATTTAACTCTCTTATGTAAATTATTGGGGAAAGATATAGATATTAAAAACTGAGTTTACAGATAACCCTAAAAACTATAGACAAAATATCAAGAGGAAGTCAGTCAAGAATATTAATTAAACAGCAACGTTGGACCAAGCATCGTTCTAGGAGCTAGTGATCAAGACAGATACAGTTCTAACCCTCAAAAAATAATAAATTCCAGTGGGGAGAAAATAGACAATAAAGACATATAAGATAATTTAAAGATCAATACATGCTATACAGAATACATAATCAGGTAATTATGACAGAGAGTGACTATCCCTGTTTATCAGTGTGGTCAGTGAAGGCTTCTCTGAAGAGGACACACTTTTGCTGAGAGAAATTGGGAAAGCTCACTTAAGGTTTGTCAGCCACTATTCTGAAGTACCGCTCCAGCTGTCCGCTTCAGTAGCATTATTTGTGCACATACAAGCACATACACTTATTATTATTTCCTTTGTACCTACAGAAGGGATGCTCCCTTCTGTAGGCTAAGGCCGTAGAGAATGTACTGAATTGCTCTCCCGGCTCCCTTTTCTGGATGATTCTTCATAAGCAAATTTATGTTTGAAAACCTGACACAGAATGGAAGTGGTTACAGAATCTTGTTCTCAAGCTCCTACCAAGAGGGTCAACAGAGAGATAGCAAGTAGGAGTGCAAGATTTAGATTCTGCTGTGACTTTTTTTTACCCAGCAGGTTGTACTGGTGGGGTTAGAAGGACACTGGCACTTCTTTTCCCTGGCATTTTTTCTGGAGGGGTCATCTTAGACATTTTGGGTTCAGTACCTTTGAGGACGCTCTTTTGAACCCAATTGTATTTCCTTGTCTCTAGGTTTCAGCCCCAGCGCAGGAACAAGAAATACATTTGGAGGAGACAACAGCTCTGGGTGCAACAAAGGAATATCCTCCTACCTCACCCCTCCGTGGGGGCTCAGCCGCTGGAGCCCACCTGGAGACTCCACATGACCCAGGGGCACAGCAACTCCCTAATGGGCACTTTGGTACTCATCTCCCCAGCTCATGCCTCCCTCTCTCCTCTGGAGGCTCTTTTTATTTATCTGCCTATCTCCCACCCCATTGGAATTCCTTGCTGGCCTGCATCTGTCCTCTTTCCCCAGTGACCTTGTCTGTTCCTTTTGCTTATTCTGCATCATTTATGTATTTTGCAAGTTTTTGCCAAGTACCTGTCATAGAAAAAGCACTGTCGGAGACCAGAGATATATAGTACACTATCACTGTTTCATGGAGGAGGTGGCACTGGATTGGACAGTGAAAAATGGGCGAGGAATTTGAAAGTGAGAGAAAAGTAGTACGTGTGCCACTAGAAGAGGATATAAGCAAACACTCTAAGTTGGGGGTTTCTTGGGCCCTCATTGAGGTGGGGTCAGGAAAGTCTTATGTGGGAACCTGAGCCTTTCTCATACAGGACCTTGAGGTTGACGCCAGGAAGCTTTTGGGGATCAGAGGATGATTTGTTAGAAATAGTATTTCAGGAGGATAACTCTGGCACAGATGAACATTATGGGTTGAATAATTCCATAATTCCACTGGAGGGGGCCTCAGTGGAAAGGCAATGCAGTAGAATAGATGTCAGACAGTTACTGCCTAAACTGGGGTGAGTAGAATGGAAAAGGAAACAAGTGAGAGAAACATTGTGAGGGAAGAATCTATGGACTTGAGGCCGGCCCGTGGCTCACTCGGTAGAGTGCGGTGCTGATAACACCAAGGCCCCGGGTTCGGATCCTACATAGGGATGGCCGGTTTGCTCACTGGCTGAGCGTGGTGCTGACAACACCAAGCCAAGGGTTGAGATCCCCTTACCGGTCATCCTTTAAAAAAAAAAAAAAAAAAAGAATCTATGGACTTGGATTTGAAATGAGAGGAAGGGAAATTAGAGAGTTTTGGCTGATGATAGAATCATTGACAGGACTTGGAAAATCAAAAAAGGAAGGTGGTAAGAACGTGCATGTTAGGCACTGAACTTGAGTGTTGTGGGACATCCAAGTGAAATGTCAGTAGGCAACCGGAAGTGTGGGATGGGGCCTAGGAGAGAAGTGAGGCTGTGAGAGCAGTGTTAAAGCGGTGAGAGCCAGTGAGATCACTGACAGAGAGGAAGCACCAGAGCCTGAGCTTCAAGGAGCGTCCATAATGAGAGGGCATGAGGGTCAAGTCAGGCTTGGCTAGTGCTCGGGAAGCTATGGGTGAGAGAATGTGGGCAGATGTATGGCTTCTTTCAGAGAGGTTGGAGAGAATGGGGGCTGGAAGGAATACCCAGTCCTCAGTTTAACCAGGGACCTTCTACTGTGTTCTCCCAGGAAGATTCACAGCACACTAGAGATAATGCCTTTATAGAAGACGGATAAGAGTCAGTGTGTGTGGAGCTGCCTGGGCTCTCTTGAATCCACTCATTGGGAACATAGATCTATGGGCGCCGAAGGCAGGGCTTGTCCCACTCATAGTTTTCTTTCCTTCCTCAGCTCAGCTTGCTTCCCCAGTTCCTACCCATCCCCAAGTGGGGAGCTCAGGAGACCAAGCAGCAGCAACTGTGCTTCGGATGGACAGGCCCCAGGTGAGCTTGGTTCTTTCTGTTTCTCCCAAGATCCCATGGCTGTGGCCCAAGAATGGCCAGAGCTCACCTCCAGGGCTCTGTCCCATCTGAGACTGCTCCTGGGGCTCTTCTGCCTACTGGCTTCCCCTGGAGCTGGGTCCCTACTCCTAGTTAGTGGACTCTATGTTGCCCTGGACTTGTCCTTTTCCATGTGTCATCCCAGATGCTGTGTTCCTCCCATTTGCAGACCAAGATCCCATACCCCGTGTCATCTGTACCCCCGATGACTCTTCCCTTCAGGCAGGGAACGTTCCTGAGCAATAGAAGTTTGTCATTCCAGGAGACTGTGGCATATGAGGACCTGTCTGTGGGCTATACTCAGAGGAAGTGGAAGGGTCCGGCACTCAGTCAGAGAGGCCTATCCCGGAACATGATGCCAGAAAATTACCACAGCGTGGCCTTATTGGGTAATGATCCTCTTCCCCACTGACTTAGAGTCTGCATTCTCTACATTTTCTTTACTATATTCTTTGTCTGTTTAAACTTTTAATTGTGAGATTTTTAAAACATAGAATAAGTAGAGAATAGTATAGTGAGCCTCTCTGTACCTATCGCTCCACTTTAACAATTATCCACATTGTCTTTACTTCGTTATTGATTGATGTAGGGTGGTTTAGTTAGGGCTTTTTTAGTTGTAAGGAATAGAGAGTCACTTAACTTATTGTAAGCGAGGAGCTCCGTGTGTTGTAAAGCTCAAAGGAAAGGGAACCCACAACCAGCTGATCAGCTAAACTAGACTGTGGGAAGCAGGGCCTTGTGGAGGCTGGGCCCTGACCCAAGGCAGCCCAGGAGCCTCAGCAGCAAAAGCAAATGAATTTTTACACCTGTGTTGCAGTGTGACTGTAACACAGCTGCTCCCTGCATGTCAGTTTTCTCTCTGTTGTCCTCCTTCTGGTACCCATTTTCTTCACTCTGAATCTTTTGTCCCCATCATTGCTCAATCTTAATTCTACTGTCTGTTCCCTCATACTCATTTTCTTGCTGTGGCTCCTAATAGCTTGGCTTCTCTCCATGCATCATTTCAGCTTAATTCCTCCTCCTAAGTGCCTTAATTTTGCCTATTTCCAGTTTAGAATTTAGTTAGAGGAAGATTTTGATTGGTACAGCCATTAAATATCATCTATTTTTGGTCAGAACTTGAGGCCAGGCCACCTTATCTGATTACCATACAGATAAGGTACACTGGAGTCTAGTACCTGACACTGGCCCAGTCGACTGTGGTCCATCATGGGATTTTCAGGATCATATGGTACAAAGAAGTGTTGCCTACATTCCTCTGTCTACAAAGACTGGGACAGGGCAGTTTCCTGGAAGGGGCTATTGGCAGGACTGGTTCTGTGATTGACGAGTTTAGAACAAACAGTAGCCCACTCTGGAGAGGGAGGGCTTAGAAGTCATTGACTCAGACATGTTTAACTTTCCATATGCTAAACAGTGTGAAGGCCATGGCCCTGATTAAGACATGATTCAAAGGAACCAACAATTAGGTCTTTATATAGGACCATTATTACTCTGTCTTCTCCCATATTTTGTATTCAAACATTCCAGAATTCAAGGCAAATATTCAACTGTTCAGATACCTTATTATTTTAGAAAATCAAAATCCCAAAGACATATTTTAATTTATATTTCAAATTATTGATGCCTCTCTTAATTTTTATGGGAATACAGAACTGACTCGTACCGGTCCAGTGCTCTGGAGTCCAGACGTATCCGAACTTTTAGAGCTCTGCTGTGCCCTTCAACACTGTCCCCCGGCATTTCCGAACCCATTTCTGAACCCTTCTCCAAATATTGTCACTGTCCTATCATACAAGATCTCTCCTGTTTGTACACTTTCCATATCATACCTTCATAATATAAATCTCTTGTCAACTCACTCCCATCTTTGCCCTCCCAGTTTCTTTTATTTAACTTGAGGTATTTGCTCGCCTTCTCTCTCCCAACATCTGTTCTGAGAACCATGGAACCATACAACATCATGGTTAGAAAGGGTCTTAGAGTAAATTGTTTTTAAAAGGAGACATAGCATCTAAGTGACTTCTGTAAGATCACATCATGCTTTACAATCTGGTCTCTTGACCTCCCACTGCCCTCCTGACTTGTGCTATGCTGGCTCAACATCTGTCTGTCCTGGTACCTCTTTTTCCATCCTTCTCCACTACCAATATCCCCCTCCTTGTTTTTTGGTCTTGGAAGAAAAAATTGACCTATTTCCCATTTCATTCTTGTTCTTATTGTGTCATCTCATTCCTTAACCATTATGTGACTTTTCTTATTATACATCTGCTCTTGAGGACTCCATTTCCCCAACAGGACAAAAAAATAAATGAAAATTGTTCTGTTCTTTCTCTGGCAGTGGATGAGAACAGGACGGAGAGCTCAGAGTTGACTCCAAAGCAGGAAATTTCTAAAGGATCTGAATCATCTGATACAACATCAGGGAAACCAGAGGCTGGAGATGTCTGTGAAGACACTTTAGAGAAACTAGAAGGGATCTCTTCTTCCTCAGATGAAGAAGAGAGCAGACTGGAAAGTGATTTCTTTGTAATAACAGTCAAGGATAAGAGAAAATCCACAAAGGACAGACGTGAGGAATATAAGGAAGTAGAGGAAAACACAAATCTGTCCTTTGGTCCTGCTGAACATGAAGTAGTTCTAAAGGGACAGAAATTCTATCAATGTGATGAATGTGGCAAATCTTTCAATCGGAGTTCACACCTCATTGGCCACCAGAGAATCCACACGGGAGAGAAACCCTATGAGTGTAATGAGTGTGGTAAGACCTTCAGGCAGACCTCTCAGCTAATTGTTCATCTCAGAACCCACACAGGAGAAAAACCCTATGAATGCAATGAGTGTGGAAAGACCTATCGACACAGCTCCCATCTCATTCAACACCAGAGACTCCATAATGGGGAGAAACCTTATAAATGTAATGAATGTGGGAAAGCCTTTACTCAGAGTTGCCAACTCATTGATCACCAAAGAACCCATACTGGGGAGAAACCTTATGAATGCAGTGAGTGTGGAGAGGCATTTATTCGGAATAAAAGTCTTGTCCGACATCAGGTTCTTCACACTGGTAAGAAACCTTACAAGTGTGATGAGTGTGGGAAAGCTTTCTGTTCCAATAGAAATCTTATTGACCATCAGCGAATCCACACTGGAGAGAAGCCATATGAGTGTAATGAATGTGGCAAGGCCTTCAGTCGGAGTAAATGTCTCATACGACATCAGACCCTCCACACTGGGGAAAAGCCATACAAATGTACTGAATGTGGGAAAGCCTTCAATCAGATCTCTCAGCTTGTTGACCATGAGCGAATTCATACTGGAGAAAAACCGTTTAAATGTAGTGAGTGTGGTAAGGCATTCAGTCTGAGTAAATGTCTTATTCGGCATCAGAGACTTCACACAGGTGAAAAGCCCTATAAATGCAATGAGTGTGGAAAATCCTTCAATCAAAACTCACACCTCATTATACATCAGAGAATTCACACTGGTGAGAAACCCTATGAATGTAATGAGTGTGGAAAGGTCTTCAGTTATAGCTCCAGCCTTATGGTACATCAGAGAACCCATACTGGGGAAAAACCCTATAAATGCAATGATTGTGGGAAAGCCTTTAGTGACAGCTCACAGCTTATAGTGCACCAGAGAGTTCACACTGGTGAGAAACCTTATGAATGTATTGAGTGTGGTAAAGCCTTTAGTCAGCGTTCCACTTTTAATCACCACCAGCGAATTCATGCTGGAGAGAAGCCCTCAGGTCTGGCTCGATCAGTTTCTTGAGGTATTGTTCTCTGAGACAGAGAGCAAGGAACTCTGAGTTAAGCTTTCTTTGTAAGAAGGGTGCTCACCCTGGTTTCCTCTTGGAACTGCTTATCAAAGTGGTCCATTCCCCAACTGCTTTCCATTGGGTCACTAAGGTAGGAGAGTGGGAGTAATTTAGTGCAATCCTTCTCCACTGTTGGAAAGTAAGGACCACACATTTTACTTACTTGTAGCTTTCCTTTTTCCTTTATTTTTTAATTTTAATTATTTGAAAATGTATCTCATTTCTTAGTTATGTATCCAACAATCATATCGTGTGCTTGTAAAGGACAGAGATAATATCTTTTTTTTTTTTTTTTTGGTCTTTTTCGTGACCGGTAAGGGGATCACAACCCTTGGTGTGGTGTCGCCCACACCGCGCTCAGCCAGTGAGCGCACTGGCCATTCCTATATAGGATCCGAACCCGCAGCAGGAGCGTTGCTGTGCTCCCAGCGCCGAGTGCGCCATGGGGTCGGCCCCAGAGATAATATCTTTTATATGCTATTGTTCTTCCCTTTCACCATTTACATGAAGTTGTTCTACAAGACTCTGATTCATTCTTTCCTGCCTCTTGGCTATAGCTGTTCCCATCTACTTTTTAAATTTAATCTATAGCTTATGTCTTGTGTTCCCTACCCGTAAAACCTTTTCTTCCTGTTTGCTAATCTGTTTTTCTCACAATATTGAAGATTCATCTCATCTCTGAAAGATTTTCTTCTTCAACTGCTTCTTCATTTCTCTTAAACTTCTATTGCTTTGACCTCAGTGCTTTGAATTATCTGGTACTACAGTGTGCAACAGTTGTTAAATTGCTTTGTAAATTTTTCTCAACTTAATGTGTTTCTGTAAACTTTCATACCAACTTACTGTAGGCTCTGTGGGGTCAGAAATGTATCTTTTTCTTTTATCATATAGATAATAGTTTGTACATATTAATTGTTAAATAATTTTTTAAACCTCACCTCTCAAATTTAATAATCCTTAAAGTATGCACAATCACCACCCCCTCTCCTTAAATCATACTAGATGCTTCTGTAGATGAAAGTGCATCTCATCACAGAATATCACATACAGTGGCCTCATTGATATCTTCTACCTGTGTACCACTGGAGATCTTACTACTATTACTTCAGCCTCAGAAAGCTAATGAGTTTGTGTGTTAGTGAATGTGTGTGTGTATCTAGATATTGGGTTAGGCAGTCATATCCCACTGATAGGTATTTTACCCTGCACGTTGACTGCAGTTCTGAACTTGCTAATTGCACTCTGCTACCTAAATCAACATGTTAAGAACAGAGTCAAAATTTACTGCAAAGAGAACATGACTTTCATAGCTGTGGTGCAGATGATTGAAAAACTAGCTAGAAGCATTTCTGGATGATTGGAATTCACAATGATGAGGTTTATGGCAAGGTAACAGAGCCAAAGTAATGTTTTCCTTATTGACTAGTTCCATCTACCTACAACTGCCATCTTAATTTCAAGATGAGTGCTGTATCCTTAATTACCATAATTATCTTGCAGGCTGTCTTTTATTCCCTAAAGACATGAGAAACAGGAAATCATCTCGAAGAATTTTCTTTCCTTCTACAGTCATACATCAGTCATGAGCTTGAACAACTTTTCTCCCTTGCAGTAAAGCCCCACTGCTGGAGGACCTTTACCTCTGGTGTCTACCTCTTTCTCTTCCCATTCCCCAAACTTCCTCTTAACAGGATGACAGGATCAGCAGTGTGGCAAAGGTGGAAGAGAGGGCAATGTCAGGTATGTAACATGGAAGGGGAAGTTTGTGAGCTGTGGTTTTTCTCAGTGGAGAAGAAAGGGAAGGGTTGAGGCTTAAGAAAATAAGAAATAGAGGTGATTTTGAGGAAATTTGCCATTTGTAAATATGTATTTAAAATTAAATTTGTTTTCAACTATATTTTTGGTGTTTCCATTTTCCTTTAAAAGATATGCAGAAAGGACTTTTTCCCCTCTGCCAAGTGTTTTACTTTGGGAACTCCCAGATCCCAGGGTGAAGCCTGACCCTATATGAACACATGGGTCTAGCCCTCCACCCTGAGCTGGATGTTAATGGTCATGTTACTGGTCATGTTACTGGTCACATCTTCAGTAGAACCACTCTGCTTTTTTTTTTTTTTTTTTTTTTTTTTTTTTTTTTTTTTTTCCTT